ATGTGAAGATCTCTGTGAAATATGGATATCGGGGAACTGCAACGTGCATGCAAGCAACCTTAGCGTGTAAGCTCCTTGAGGACAAGGACTGAAGTGAAATGACCTCCCAGTCTCAGTCCGTAGGGTTCAATATGGCCCCGCCCATGACCTTTCATGGCCCCCAGTCTTAGTCCGTAGGGTTCAATGTTGAGTTGGCCCCGCCCTTTCCCCACACATGACCTTTCATGGCCCCCCAGTCTTAGTCCGTAGGGTTCAATGTTGAGTTGGCCCCGCCCTTTCCACACACATGACCTTTCATGGCCCCCCAGTCTTAGTCCCGTAGGGTTCAATATTGAGTTGGCCCCGCCCTTTGCAGCTATAACAAGCTTCAACTCTTCTGGGAAGGCCGTCCACAAGGTTTAGGAGGGTGTCTATGGGAAGGTTGGACCATTCTTCCAGAAGCACATTTGTCAGGTCAGGCACTGATGTCGGGGGAGGAGGCCTGGCTCGCAGTCTCCCCTCTAATTCATCCAAAGGTGTTCTATGGGGTTGAGGTCAGGACTCTGTGCAGGACAGTCAAGTTCCTCCACCCCAAACTGGCTCCTCCATGTCTTTATGGACCTTGCTTTGTGCACTGGAGCGCAGTCATGTTGGAACAGGAAGGGGCCATCCCCAAACTCTTCCCACAAAGTTGGGGTCATGAAATTGTCCAAAATGTCACCTTAAGAGTTCCCTTCACTGGAACTAGGGGGCCAAGCCCAACCCCTGAAAAACAACCCCACACCATAATCCCCCCTCCACCAAACTTTACACTTGGCACAATGCAGTCAGGCAAGTACCGTTCTCCTGGTAACCGCCAAACCTGTACATGTCCATTGGATTGCCAGACAGAGAAGCATGATTGGTCACTCCAGAGGACACGTCTCCACTGCTCTAGAGTCCAGTGGCGGCGTGCTTTACACCACAGCATTTGACGCTTTGCATTGCACTTGGTGATGTAAGGCTTGGATGCAGCTGCTCGCCCATGGAAACCCATTCCATGAAGCTCTCTACGCACTGTTGTTGGGCTCATCTGAAGGCCACACCAAGTTTGGAGGTCTTTAGCTATTGACTCTACAGACAGTTGGCGACTTCTGCGCACTGTGCGCTTCAGCATGCGCTGACCCCGCCCTGTCATGTGACGTGGCCTACCACTTGGTGGCTGAGTGGCTGTTGTTCCCAGTTGCTTCCACTTTGTTATAATCCCACTAACAGTTGAGCGTGGAATATTTAGTAGCCAGGAAATGTCATGGATGGACTTATTGCCCAGGTGGCCACCTATCACGGGACCACGCTTGGAGTCACTGAGCTCCTGAGAGCGACCCATTCTTTCACCAATGTTTGTGTAGAAGCAGCCTGCATGCCTAGGGGCTTGATTGTATACACCTGTGTCCATGGAGGGGATTGGAACACCTGAATCACATGATTTGGAGGGCGGGCCCAATAATTATGGCAATATATATATATATATTATATTTATATATATATACACATATATACACATTATACATATATATTGATGACACAAAAAAGTGGAGAAAAAAAAAAGCCAAACCTGACATTCCACGCAAAACCCAAAAATGGACAACATTGTTGGCATCCTCAACGTAATATTTGGTAGCACACCCCATGAAAAAAAAATAAATCAAAGGCTTCCTATAGCCATCAATGGGTTTCTTCTACCTCTCTACTGGAATTTCTGGATCACTCTTCCTCCTCCAACTGCTCCGGGTCTCTCAGATTGGAAGGTTCCTTTTCCCAACTGCTGTTCTGAGATCTCTCCACAGGAGTTCTATGGGATGGAGATCTGGACTCATTGCTGGCCAGTTCAGTCCTCTCCAGCACTTTGTCTGAAACCATTTCTGGGGGCTTGTTGACGTGTGCTTTGGGGTCATTGTCCTGCTGGAAGACCCATGACCTCTGACACTGGAGACCCAACTTTCTGACACCGGGCCCTACATTGCACCCCAGAATTCTTTGGTAGTCTTCAGATTTCATAATGCCATGCACACGGCCAAGACATCCAGTGCCTGAAGCAGCAAAGCAACCCCAAACCATCAGTGACCCCCCACCATGTGTGACTGGAGGGACTGGATTCTTTCAAGGCCTCATTGCTGTATCTAAAAACAGCAGAATGATGGGATTTACCATTTTGTTTCGTCTGCCCCCAGCACATTCTCCCAAAAGGGTTTTGGAAAACTCCAATCTGACTTCCAATATGTTCCTGTGTTGGCAGTGAGGTCCTCCTGGGTCTCCCACCATATTTCTGTGTCAGCAGTGGGGTCCTCCTGGGTCTCCTCCCATATTTCTGTGCCAGCAGTGGGGTCCTCCTGGGTCTCCTCCCATATTTCTGTGTCAGCAGTGGGGTCCTCCTGGGTCTCCTCCCATATTTCTGTGCCAGCAGTGGGGTCCTCCTGGGTCTCCTCCCATATTTCTGTGCCAGCAGTGGGGTCCTCTGGGTCTCCTCCCATATTTCTGTGCCAGCAGTGGGTCCTCTTGGGTCTCCCACCATATTTCTGTGTCAGCAGTGGGGTCCTCCTGGGTCTCCTCCCATATTTCTGTGCCAGCAGTGGGGTCCTCCTGGGTCTCCTCCCATATTTCTGTGTCAGCAGTGGGGTCCTCCTGGATCTCCTACCATAGAGTCCCCTTTCATTCAGATGGTGACATATAGTTTGGGCTGACACAGTTGTACCCGGTGCCTGAAGGTCATCTTGAATTGTCTGGAAGGTTATTGAGGTTCTTTATCCACCATTCTAATAATACTTTGTTGCAATCTTTGATCAATTTTTCTCTTTCGCCCAGGTGGCTGTAAACGTCTTGACAATCTTGCGCACAGTGGACACAGGAACACGAAGATCTCTGCAGATGGACTTGTCACCTTGAGATTGAGGATTGGAGGATGAAAATTGTAGAGAAGAACGGACAGACAATTCTTTGCTGCCCTCCCTCTCCTCCATGCGGCACACAGAGACACCCAACACAAAGGTGGAGGCCATTTGTCACCATTGTCCCCGGTTGTCGGTGGGATTTCTAGGTTGTCAGCGCCCGGTCATGGATACGGGGAGATTAATGACAAATTACAGGAGCGTCACAGACGTGGAATGCAATTATTTCTTACAATTTTCAGAAGGTGCCAATCATTTTTGTCCATTTTTGGGTGGAATGGGTCAGATTTGGCTTTTTGTGTCACCAATACAAACCAAAGAAAGAAACACGAGAATGCCGAAACATTTGTCATCGCAGCAAAATTTCTGGGTGAAGTGGTGCGTCATGTGACAGAAATGGGGGGGGGGGACTTGGCCACGGCTGTGTGTGAGATATAATATATAAATGTATGTATGTATGTATGTATGTATGTATTTATGTATGTAGAGATATATATGTATGTATGTATGTATGTAGAGATATATATGTAACATACACACTATACAAGGCATGTCACCGGCCTTCATTACAGGGAAATGATCGATCTTTTTGCCTTTTCTCTGGCCAGTGGTGCTCAGTCCAGCCCTTGTGTGCTCCGGCTCTTCCATCGGCCATCAATCTCTGTGCCAGGTCCCCGCAGCGGTCATCAATCTCTCTCAGCGCTCACAGGCTGGAAGACTGTTGGGATAGGTGCCGGGAAGATTTACAGCGTCGGCCGTGTCTTCGGAGGACCTACCTTCTCCTGCCTTCATTAAATCACAGATATTACACTCCAATCTCATGTGGTGCTCATCATAAAATTAGATGGGGGCCAGGGGGGGGGGGGGGGGGGGGGGGGGGGGGGGGCTCGTTATCAACGTCCAATGGGCCGGGATCACATGACTGACGGGTCAACCAGAGAGAAAAGAAAGTGAAGCGACACATACAAGTCCCAGCCTGCTCCTGGCAATCAGAGGGTGGAAGGACATATCGGAGGACAGATTTCTATGGTATGGTCCCAGTCCCCCCTGCAGTCTCACCCCCCCAGTTTGTCCTGCAGTCCCCCCCCAGTCTGCCCTGCAGTCCCCAGTCCCCCCCAGTTTGTCCTGCAGTGTCCCCCCCAGTCTGCCCTGCAGTCCCCAGTCCCCCCCCAGTCTGCCCTGCAGTCCCCGTCCTCCCCCAGTCTGCCCCGCAGTCCCCGTCCCCCCCCAGTCTGCCCTGCAGTCGTCGTCATCCCCCCCAGTCTGCCCTGCAGTCCCCCCCCCCCCCAGTTTGTCCTGCTGTCCCTGTCCCCCCCCAGTCTGCCCTGCAGTCCCCCCCCAGTCTGCCCTGCAGTCCCCCGTCCCCCCCAGTCTGCCCTGCAGTCCCCCACCCCCCCCCAGTTTGTCCTGCAGTCCCCCCCCCCAGCCTGCCCTGCAGTCCAAACCCCCGCAGTTTGCCCTGCAGCTCCCCCTCCCAGTCTGCCCTGCAGTTCCCCCTCCCAGTCTGCCCTGCAGTTCCCCCCCCCAGTCTGCCCTGCAGTCCGAGGCTCTTCTCTTTTTCGGTTAATATTACTATAGAGCTTCTCACAATGTGCAGCCAGTCAGATAGAGCTCCGCCTCTTTTCCCGACTGGAGGACGCCCAGCATCATCTAACTCTTTCCTCCTTCATTCATTGGATTTCAATTCGTTCAGTCATGGAGGTTTGGCATCACAGGTGGGTGGTCTGCATGCAATTACAGCCTAGGAACGCCCACTCTTTCAGACAGACCCCCCCCCCATTCTGGTATTTGCATAACTCCTCCCAAGAGCCAGCCCACTGCGAGATGAGGGGCCTTGAGAGATGGGGTGCGGTGAGGTCTCCTATGAAGTTATGCACAGCCCTCTGCCAGGCAGCAGAGAGAAGCACAGAGACCCAGTGATGATGTCACTGGTTCTAAAAAAAGGTATGTAATGAAAATGGAGAGGGGAAGGGGGAGGGGAAGGGAAGCTATCTTCATAATAAGATACATAATACATCAGACTATCATCTGGACAGACCCCCCCCCCCCCTCCCCCGGGGCTGGACAGACCCCCCCCTCCCCCGGGGCTGGACTCACATGGTTCAGATGTGTCTGACACTTGATGGATTTCTCCAGCATCTTCTGACTGCCTTCCAGGGACTCCAAACAAGATCCTGAAATCACAAATCACCGCCTCAGCACCGGAAACAAGACAATAGACCGACCTCTGACCTTGCCGAACCGCCAGCTCCTCCCCCATCTGATGTCCTCTGTATAGAGCCCCACCCACCGTACATTATATACTCCTCTATATACACCCCGTACATTATATACTCTTCTATACACACGCCGTACCTTACAGTTGCAAGAAAAAGTATGTGAACCCCTTGGGATTACGTGGAGTTTTGCATGAATTGGGCATAAAATGTGCTCTGAATGTCATCTAAGTCACAACAATAGAAGAACACAGTCTGCTGAACATAATACTACACAAACATTAGATGTTGCCATGGTTTCATTGCACATAACATGTAAACATTAACAGTGCAGGGAGGAAAAAGTATGTGAACCTTTGGACTTAATAACTGGTTGACCCTCCTTTGGCAGCAATAACCTCAACCAAACGTTTCTTGTAGTTGCAGATCAGACCTGCACAATGATCTGGAGTCATTTTGGACCACTCCTCTTCACAAAACTGTTTCAGTGTAGCAATATTCTTGGGATGTCTGGTGTGAATCGCTCTCTTAAGGTCATGCCACAGCATTTCAATGGGGTTGAGGTCAGGACTCTGACTGGGCCACTCCAGAAGGCGTATTCTGTGCTGTTGCAGCCATTGTTTTGTTGAATGACTTGTATGCTTTGGGTCATTGTCCTGTTGCATCACCCATCCTCTGCGGAGCTTCAATTGGCGGACAGATGGTCGTACGTTTTCCTGCAAAATGTCTTGATAAACTCTGGAATTATTTTCCCATCAATGACAACAATCCGTCCAGGCCCTGAGGCAGCAAAGCAGCCCCAAACCATGATGCTCCCTCCGCCATGTTTCACAGTGGGGATGAGGGTTTTGATGTTGGTGTGCTGGCCTTTTTTTCTCCACACATAGTGTTGTGTGTTCTTCCCAAACAACTCAATCTTGGTTTCATCTGTCCGCAGTATATTTTGCCAGTAGTGCTGTGGAACATCCAGGTGCTCTTTTACAAACTTCAAACGTGCTGCAATATTCTTTTTGGCCAGCAATGGCTTCCTCCGTGGTGTCCTCCCATGTACTCCATTCTTGTTTAATGTTTTCCTTATTGTAGATGTGTCAATAAAAATGTTAGCATGTGCCAGAGATTTCTGTAGGTCTTTAGCTGACACTCTGGGATTCTTCTTTACCTCATGCAGCATTCTGCGCTGTGCTCTTGCAGTCATTTTTACAGGACGACCACGCCTAGGGAGAGTAACAACGGTGCTAAACTTTCTCCATTTGTAGACAGTCTGTCTTACCGTGGACACATGAACCTCAAGGCTTTTGGAGACACTTTTGTAACCCTTTCAAGCTTCATGCAAGTCAACAATTCTTGATGGTAGGTCTTCTGAGAGCTCTTTTCTGCGAGGCATGGTTCACATCCGACAGTGCTTCTTGAAACCAGTAAACCCAAAACAGGTGTCAGCAACACATCCAATATCATCACACTGATTGGAGTCAAGGTTGGCTCACTCCTGGCTCCAATTAGCTCTGGGAGAAGTCATTAAGCTAGGCCTCACATACTTTTTCCTCCCTGCACTGTGAATGTTTACATGTTATGTGCAATTAAACCATGGCAACATCTAATGTTTGTGTAGAATTATGTTCAGCAGACTGTGTTCTTCTATTGTTGTGACTTAGATGACGTTCAGAGCACATTTTATGCCCAATTCATGCAAAACTCCACGTAATCCCAAGGGGTTCACATACTTTTTCTTGCAACTGTATATACTCCTCTATACACCCCGTACATTATATACTCCTCTATATACACGCCGTACATTATATACTCCTCTATATACACCCCGTACATTATATACTCCTCTATATACACCCCGTACATTTATATACTCCTCTATATACGCCCCGTACATCATATACTCCTCTATACACGCCCCGTACGTTATATACTCCTCTATATACGCCCCCGTACATTATATACTCCTCTATATACACCCCGTACATTTATATACTCCTCTATATACACCCCGTACATTATATACTCCTCTATATACGCCCCCGTACATCATATACTCCTCTATACACGCCCCGTACGTTTATATACTCCTCTATACACACCCCGTACATTATATACTCCTCTATATACACCCCGTACATTATATACTCCTCTATATACACCCCGTACATTATATACTCCTCTATACACGCCCCGTACATTATATACTCCTCTATACGCCCCGTACATTATATACTCCTCTATATACACCCCGTACATTATATACTCCTCTATATACACCCCGTACATTATATACTCCTCTATATACACCCCGTACATTATATACTCCTCTATACCCGCGTACATTATATACTCCTCTATATACACCCCATACATTATATACTCCTCTATATACACCCCGTACATTATATACTCCTCTATATACACCCCGTACATTATATACTCCTCTATACACGCCCCGTACATTATATACTCCTCTATATACACCGTACGTTATATACTCCTCTATATACACCCCGTACGTTATATACTCCTCTATATACACCCCGTACGTTATATACTCCTCTATATACACCCCGTACATCATATACTCCTCTATATACACCCCGTACATCATATACTCCTCTATATACACCCCGTACATCATATACTCCTCTATATACACCCCGTACATCATATACTCCTCTATATACACCGTACATTATATACTCCTCTATATACACCCCGTACATTATATACTCCTCTATATACACCCCGTACATTATATACTCCTCTATATACACCCCGTACATTATATACTCCTCTATATATACACCCCGTACATCATATACTCCTCTATATACACCCCGTACATCATATACTCCTCTATATACACCCCGTACATCATATACTCCTCTATATACACCCCCGTACATCATATATACTCCTCTATATACACCCCGTACATCATATACTCCTCTATATACACCCCGTACATCATATACTCCTCTATATACACCCCGTACATTTATATACTCCTCTATATACACCCCGTACATTATATACTCCTCTATATACACCCCGTACATTATATACTCCTCTATATACCCCGTACATCATATACTCCTCTATATACACCCCGTACATTATATACTCCTCTATATACACCCCGTACATTATATACTCCTCTATATACCCCGTACATTATATACTCCTCTATATACACACCCCGTACATTATATACTCCTCTATATACACCCCGTACATTATATACTCCTCTATATACACCCCGTACATTATATACTCCTCTATATACACCCCGTACATTATATACTCCTCTATATACACCCCGTACATTATATACTCCCTCTATATACACCCCGTACATTATATACTCCTCTATATACACCCCGTACATTATATACTCCTCTATATACACCCCGTACATTATATACTCCTCTATATACACCCCGTACATTATATACTCCTCTATATACACCCCGTACATTATATACTCTCTCTATATACACCCCGTACATTATATACTCCTCTATATACACCCCGTACATTATATACTCCTCTATATACACCCCGTACATTATATACTCCTCTATATACCCCGTACATTATATACTCCTCTATATACACCCCGTACATTATATACTCCTCTATATACACCCCGTACATTATATACTCCTCTATATACACCCCGTACATCATATACTCCTCTATATACACCCCGTACATCATATACTCCTCTATATACACCCCGTACATCATATACTCCTCTATATACACCCCGTACATCATATACGCCTCTATATACACCGTACATTATATACTCCTACTATATACTATACACCCCGTACATCATATACTCCTCTATATACACCCCGTACATCATATACTCCTCTATATACACCCCGTACATCATATACTCCTCTATATACACCCCGTACATTATATACTCCTCTATATACACCCCGTACATTATATACTCCTCTATATACACTGCGCTGTACATTATATACTTTATGGGACAATAAAGTTGAGTGAACAGTGATGAGGAGGCCCGGCCCTCCTCTCCTCCCCCCGGTCCCGGACCCCGTACCCAGCCTCCCGGTCGCAAACACTCCTCCCCCCGGTCCCCGTACCCAGCCTCCCGGTCGCAGCACTCAGCGCCTCCAGCACTCTCCTCGCCTCCTCCGCCTTCAGTTTTCCCGCCATGTCACTTCTCCGGTCACGTGTTTGGAGTAAATAAGAAAACCCCGCGCGGCTTCCTCGTCTCCCCTGACAACGGCGTACGTACGTCCCTTTCCGTACAGGGCGCAGGCCACGTTGCCGTACAGGACCCGCCGGCGCGGTCAGCCAACCAGCGCGTGGCCAGGGCGATCAGACAAGGCGAGGGCGTTCCCAACCTATGAATTTGGGGCGGAGCGAACCCTGCGAACCAATAACCGGAGCCCTGTGGGTGGCATTCTGGAGGTGGAGGTGAAATGTCAGCTGACGTCACGGTGACGTAGAAGTGGCACCATTTGTGAAGTGGAGAGCAGAGCTGAGCCTGGCACTGGTAGATATGGAGACTTCCTGGTCTGGGGGGGAGGGGGATCTATAGACACCAACACTGGAACACAATGCTACATTGTTATGTCACTTTATGATAATATAAAGCCCCCCCCATCTGTGTAGCTGGGCCGCTGTTCCCCATAACAGCCAATCACGGGCTCCGGGCCCCATTTAAGCACAAGGGTCGCGTCACCTTTTTTTTTTTTGCACAGCAGCATACAACAAACACAACAAAGTAGCTTAATTAACTTGTTTGGCGTTGAGTGCGTTTTGCGTTCTTCATTTTACGCGCAATAATAGCAAGACTTCTACCTGTGATTGGGGGGGGGGGCGCCATGAAAAAACAATGGCAGCACAAGCGTGATGCGTGTTATCCCGCTCCCATTTTTTTCTTTTAAACATCCAGGTGTGAATGCCGCCTTAGGCCGCCAACGCGTTTCTGCTGCCTTTTTATCGCACTAAAAATCGCAAGAAAAAGGTTTCTCTATAAGCCCCGCACCAGTGCGCTACACTGCGTCTTCGATTCTCTTTTCAAAACTGCGCCAAAAAAAATGGATCTCCCCTTTAAGATGAATAGAAAATGCAGCAAAAAAAAAAAAAAACGCATCAAAAAGGCACCACATTTGCCGCATCCCTTTTACGTTTACTGCAATCACAAAGGAGCTATTATATAAATATATTTTTTAATTATTATGTTTTATATTTATTATTATTATATTGTTCTTTTACCTTTACTGTGATTACAAAGGAGCTTATATATATATAAAAAAGAATATATATATATTTTTTTATTTTTATTTTTTTATTATTATTATTATTATTATTTTTTGTTTTAAATATTATTATTATTTTCTTTTACCTTTACTATAATCACAAAGGAGCTTGTATATCATATAAAAAAGATTATTTTATATATATATATATATATATATATATTTGTGTGTGTGTGTGTGTGTGTGTATATATATATATTTATATATATATATATATATATTTTTTTTTTTAATCAATTTTTTATTATTATTTTTTTGTTTTAATTATTATTATTTTCTTTTACCTTTACTATAATCACAAAGGAGATTTTATATTATATAAAAGATTATATTATATATATATATATTTGTGTGTATATGTATATATATATATATATATATATATTATTTTTTTGTTATATATATTTTTTATTATTATTATTATTTTCTTTTACCTTTACTATAATCATATAATCATAGCTTGTATATCATATAAAATATTATTTTTTATATATATATATATATATATATATATATATATATATATATATATATATATATATATATATATTTTTTTTTTTTTTTATTATTATTATAATTTTTTTGTTTTAAATATTATTATTTTCTTTTACCTTTACTATAATGACAAAGGAGCTTGTATATATATAAAAGAGATATATATATATATATATATATATATATATATATACATTTATTTATTATTATTTTATAATTTTTTCATTAATATAAATATACATGGAGCTATTATTAATATAAATATACATTTTTTTTTTTTCAAGGTCTGCGCGTCTTGGTGTTGTGAGAAGCCATGTCGCCATCTCCCAGAGAAACCATTGTCATTACCGGAGGTGGCGGATACTTTGGGCACAGGTTAGTGCCGCGCTATAATTAATAATGTTGCATAATTATGGAAAGTCTATTAATATTCTATTTAATTATTCAATCCCGTTGGGATCCTTTGACTAATGAGCGCTAATTGCATCTTCCGGAGGAGCCAAATTCCATTATTAATTAGATACCGTTAATGGGTTTTGCTCCGCTGGAGAAGGTCCCCGCAACATAGCTCTCCACTCACTTCTGTACAGATATGTCGCTTCCCTCGGCTGTCCACGTGACGTCGCGGCGGTGTGAAAGGCGCGCCGCGTTCAGGACTGGAAATCAAAGCCGAATTCCACATTTAGGGCCGGTTCGCACCGCAAAAACCACTCCAGATTTGTTCCTGGATGCCTTTCTGCATGTGCGTTTATATCGCTTTCCGGTGCATTTTTGTTGCATTTTTGAAGGCATGAACACTGCTCAACCGACCCCCAATGTTGAGGAATGACCTCTGAGAGGGCGTGGCCAGAACGGCGGCCTAGGCCGTTCCTCAACATTGGAAACTGGGGTTGGGTGAGCAGCGTCCATCCCTTCACTTGTATTGGCTGACACTGGAATCACTCGGACTCATGCTCCCCTCTTCTCACTTGCTGGTGGGGTGATCCTTTTCCTTCCATCTATACCCACATGGAAGAAAAATAGATTTGAAATCTATTTTAAAAAATATTCTTCCCAAATATATTGACATATCTTTGTAATGGTACAATTTTGGCCGTATTCAATATATTTCAATAAATTATATATATATATACTGCATGTTGAAATGCATTTTTATTACAAAATACCACCATCATCACTTTCACCACCACCAGCATGGCCACCATCACTACCACCATCATCTTCACCACCACTTCCACCTTCACCATCATCACTTTCACCACCACCAGCATGGCCACCATCACTACCACCATCACCTTTACCACCACTAAGACCTTCACCATTATCACCACCAGCATGGCCACCATCACCTTCACCACCACTACCACCTTCACCATTATCACCACCACTACCATCACCTTCACCACTACCAGTATCATCACCACCACCATCAGCATGGCCACCATCATCACTGCCATCACCTTCACCACTACTACCATCATCACCGCCACCAGCACGACCACCACAACCACCATCACCTTCACCACTACCACCATCATCACCGCCACCAGCGCGACCACATCACCACCACCATCATCACTACCAGCATGACCATCACCACCACCATTATCTTCACCACCACCATTGTCAACGCCACCACCACCATCATCACACAAGCTTGACCATCACCACCACCATTATCATCATCACCACCCCCACTAACAACATCACCACCACCACCATTCTCACCACACCTTTACACCCACCCCTGCTGACGGGGGAGAAGAGGAAGGCCCCATGATGTCATAGGACTGGTCAGAAGAATCCAAAAGAATCCACCTGATTTTTTTTTAATGTATCTCAGGGGCGGGGGACTAGGGGAGTTGTGTTTGGCTTTAAACCCAAGAACAAAAATGGAGTATATTCCAGATTATTGGTCCTTATGGTGGTTGTAAACCACAGACATGAAATGTGAAACAAAACACACCCCTCTATAGTGTGTACTTGTCTCAGTCCAGAGCACTGAGTGTCATTTCTGTCTGCTGCCTCCTTCCACTTTCAGCATCAATCACTTCTGTCAAGGGATAAATGGTGACAGGGGAGGGATCTCCAGCACACAGCCTGTGATTGACAGCCTCAGCTCTGTTTCTGTGTGCTGTGTGGAGGGGGTGTTTCTCTTCCCTCCAATCAGATCTCAGAGCTCTCCTCACAGAGCTCTCCAGTTTGTAATTTTTGCACCCCGCGCCCTGTTTCTGAAGGTTCACACAAGCTGTATAATTAATGGACTTTGAACAGCTATAGAGAAGAAAGGACTGAAGATAAACAGATACAACTTATTTAGGAGGCCAGTCACTTCACTGAGTATACAGAAGGGTTTACAACTACTTTAAAGCAGACCATTACTCACCTACCTGATTGGATTCCCTGGAGGCTGCAGGGACATTCAGCGCTGGAAGGTGGACCTTGTGCTGCATCATCTGGGGCCAACTGCAGGAACCTGGAAAGGACAGCTGGCTCCCAGTGACATCAGAGAGGAAAATGGCAGCAGGAAACCCGGCCTGTAGCAGTGGAATGGTGGACCACAGCAAATCAAGGCTGGACCCATTGAGCGTGTGAGTATGTGACCTAGAAAACCAGGTAAGAGGGCTCCTGGTGTGGGAGGAAACATGAGTGCACGGAGAACACATTGCAAGGGAGGCCATGCAAACTCCATGCAGATAGCATCCTGGCCCAGATTCAAACTGAGAACCCCAGTACTGCAAGGCAGAATTGCTAACCACCAAGCCACCATCACCATTTTTATCAGTCTGTTCATTCTTCAATCCTAATTTCTTTATTGGTTTTCAGATTGGGTTGCCGTTTGGCTGAGGATGGAATCAATGTGGTTCTCTTCGACATTAGAAAACCGGCTCAGAATCTCCCGGACAGAATCCGGTTTATAGAAGGGGACATTCGCTCTCTCTCCGTGGTAGAAGATACCTTAACCAACGCCATTTGTGTAATCCACACGGCCTCCTACGGAATGTCGGGCCGGGAACAACTTCAAACACGGCTCATCGAGGAGGTCAACGTGAAGGGTACGGAAAACGTCATCCAAGCTTGCTTGAGTAAAGGAGTCCCGAGGCTGGTGTACACCAGTACATTTAACGTGGTGTTTGGAGGGCAGACGATTCGAAATGGAGACGAGTCTATGGAATATCTACCTCTGAACCGCCATGCCGATAATTACTCTCGTACCAAAGCCATTGCCGAGATGAAGGTGCTCAAAGCCAATGGGCTTGAGCTGGCCAATAAAAGCGGGCTCTTAAAGACTTGCGCCCTTAGATCAGCTGGAATCTACGGGCCTGGGGAACAAAGACATCTTCCAAGGATCATCAAGACTGTTGACCAAGGTTTGTTCATGTTCTTGTATGGCGATCACCATAACCGGGTGCAGTTTGTACATGTGGACAACTTAGTTTCTGCCCACATTTTGGCAGCTGAAGCCCTTACCGAACAGAAAAGCAGCATTGCGGCTGGGAAGCCATACTTTATTGCCGATGGCCATCCAGTTGACAACTTTGAATTCCTACAGCCTTTTATTGAAGGTCTGGGGTATAAATACCCAACCTTTCACCTCCCCCTCTTCTTCGTCTACCTTATGGCCTACCTCACAGAATGGCTTCATTTTCTTATCAGACCTCTTTATAATTTCCAGCCGTTGCTGACCCGTGCCGAAGTGTACAAAACAGGTGTCACTCATTACTTTAACCTGGATAAAGCCAAGAAGGAGCTTGGATATGATCCCAAGCCTTTTAAAATGTCCAAAGTCACCGAATGGTACAAAGCTCAGGGATACGGAAAACGGGTAACACGGGACAAAAGCAATAACTTCCTCTGGGACCTGGTGTTGTGTCTTTTGTTTATTGTTGTGCTGCTTGCTTGGTTTCCGAAAGTGGTGGGGTGAAGGTTTCATCTTCCAGACATCCAGGGAAAAGTACTTTAGAGACTTACCGACCACCTACAAACGGCAGAATCACCAATTTCAATGGGAGGCTATTGTGACTTAAGAATACACCAAGTCCAGTGGAGATTTACTGATCTCTCTCAAAAAAAAAAGTG